TGGGTTAAACATTACACATTGAACAAACCCTTCACTTTCGTACGTATAAGTATTTTTATTTGTCTCAATATCCCAAACTTTACATCATGATCGTCAGAATGCGGACTATGCGGATTTTGAAGCCCGTCAAACAATAAATTATTCAAATAACGATAAATTAATAGTAGTACACTTTTTTTTACTTGTAGTACGAGCGGACTTTTTTTATTTATTTATTTTTTTTTTAAATATAATAACAAATATACCTTCATTTCTAAATAATCCTATCAATAACCCTGTATATAAACTTTTGTCCACATGGAACCACCAATAAAAAAAGCCACTACCTCAATTTCATCCGAACGGGATAATATTGATAAACTTACTAAAGAAAACAGAGCCTTAAAACAAAAGGTTGATAACCTGGAAAAGGAAAATAGGTCACTAAAAAAATCCATCTATGATTTGACGGTGAAATATACAGCGGCAGCCGCAGCGCATCAACAAAGGATTAGCCCATTTATGATTGATTTTGAAGAACCACAAGAAGGTGGTGGAAAAGAAATTAACTTGGGAAATTCAACTGGTAAATTCAGGATTATTTTTTAGATAATTCTTTAGTTCTATATTCAACGATCATGATAATGGATTTTCAATATAGGTAATAATTCCCGGGAAAATATTCGAGAAAGAAGGACGTTTCATCAAAAGTCGGAATTTAAGGTTTAAAAATTTTAGTCATTAATTTAATAAGTGCCTTGCCTTCGATATATATCAAAATGTTTAATATTGTTTTTCGATTTTCAAACGAGTATTTTAGGGCCATGGTGGTGGTGTGGTTGCAATACAATTTTCTCCATGCGGAAAGATGCTTGCTTCTGGTTCTTTAGACAAAACAGTACGAATATGGGACACCATATCTCTACAAAAAGAGGTGAAATATGTTTTATTTAAGGGAAGTGACAGATATTACGTAATATCTTGAGAAAGTCATATATTCATACCAAAAAAAAAAAAGGTTAAAAAATCTTGTAGGGAATAAAAAAGTACAATAAATTACATAATATCTGACTTCCCTAGCGTTTATCATTATTTCAGTCAAAAAAATTGCATAAACTTACACGCATTTAATTAGCAAGCTTGCTTAAAGGGACACACGCTCAATGTTTCAGACGTGTGTTGGTCAAATGATTCTAGTGCAGTGTTGTCAGGGGCATATGATCAAACATGTAAAATTTGGGATATTGAGACAAATAAAAATACTTATACGTACGAAAGTGAAGGGTTTGTTCAATGTGTAATGTTTAACCCA